GATAAGTCACATCCTCCTGTTTTAAATACCCATAACGTCCTGTATTTCTTTACGCATCTAATTCATTAGTTGATTACTGTATAACAGTTGGTGCATAAAGCCTGTCCTCCTCATTGAAGAGTAAGATCCAGCAGCCTGCTTCTGTTTTCCTTGCTGCTGTACCTTCTGTGCCTAAGATTCTGCCTGTATGTAGGGAGGTGCTCCGTGCATATCAGTTGACTGGCTGATCCATTCGCTGATTCACATAAGGCAGACACCGCAACCCACTTTCTTCACTGTCACCTATGGGAATAGCAGCAGGATACAATGCAACATGATGTGCAGGAGCCTGATCCAGAGCAGACTGCCAGGCTCTGTGACCTTGGGAGAGGTACATAAGCCTTCTAAGCCTCAGTTTCCTCGTCTGTTAAATGGGGGTAATAATAGTACTTCCCTCAACATTGTTCCAAGGAAATAAACCTGAAGACTCACGATAAACATTCCCTAGATCATCAAACAGTAACATGTGCTCTCTTTCCACATCTCAGTCCTGCGTGAGTAGCAAAACAGTAATCCCCAGTGTTGTCACCTGTGAAAGGTGGCCGGCCCTGCTCTAAACAGTACAAAGTAGAGGATTACCTGTTCTAAGCTTTCCAAAAAGGACTTCATAGCCTCTGTAGATAATCCCCTCCAGAAACTCCTCACTTTGGCTGTCCAGATGTATTTACATCTTGCTAAAATCTTTGCTTTCTAATTAACTCTCTGGTTAATTCTGTTAAGCCCGAGGTGCTTCAGGAGTTTGCAACGTCCCTCGAGATCTGACCTTTGCTTACCCTTGAGCTGTGCTCCTCGACCTGCCCTCCTCTCACCCTCCATTTTGTCCACACAGAATTTGTTCCATGAAAGCACCACATTGTCTCTGCCTCCACTCCTTTTTACATGCTGTTCCCTCAGCCTAGCATAGACTTCCTGCCCTTCTTAGCCTTAGCTCTGAGCTACGCCGGCACTTCCTCCAGAAGGCTTTCCCTGACCTCCCAAGATAGGACTGGATGTCCCTCTGTGTCCTGATGGCCCGGTGCTCCTCATCAGAGCACACATCACTCCAAAGTGTCAATTGCTGTTTCCTGGTCTGTATCCCCCACTAGGCTGTGCGCCCACCGCTTCACCATCTACCACTATTCCTGTAGCTTCATAAGGGCTCAATAAATAAGTACCTGCTGAATCAGTGAATGAGCAAATGAATTAAGAAAGTTAAATTCAGTTTTTTTCTTTCAGCACAGCATAAATATGGGAAAATAGCACCTTTCTTTACAAAAAAATCTGTATTTACTTGAAGATAATAATTGAACTTTCTCCCCCACCTAAACAACCACAGTTGAAACTTATGTTTAATTCAGTACAATTCATATCCCTGCCCTATGATGCTTAAGGGTCAAGTGAAAGGCAGGGACAGGAAACACCGTGAGTTCCTAGGACAGTACATCACTTGGGAGAAACCTCCCCATCAAAGCCCCAGAGGCAGGTGACCCTGCAGGGCAGGGAGGGGTTGGGCGTCCCATCTTCTAACAAATGTGGACCATTCCCATTTTGCTGAAGGAGAAGAACATGTCTCCTCTCTTGTTGGAAAAGGAGGAGCCACTTATTTCAAGAAGTTCCTCCTCACAATATGTGAACTAAAAAATTCAAAGTGACAATTCAGCAAGGCGTGACAGTTTTGGCTTTTTGCTCCAGTTTTTGCTTTACATCAAATCAAAGAAACCTAGGTCCACATTAAGAAAAGTAAATTAACATTAGGGGGGACCATTAGTTTGTTTACCCAGCATACAATTATGTCCTCTGTAAACGGGAATATCAAATAGCATAAAAAGCCTAGGTGATTTACATTTTCTTTTTGATTAGAGGGTTGCATCTACTGTATTCAAGGAAGGAAAATCTCTCCCATTTAGCTTTTTGAAGATCAAAGAGGCCATTAAATATGCCATATTACCAGCTTTTTTTTTTTTTTTGTTAAGACTGGGGGTGCTGTACAAATTGAGATTGTCGTGGGGAAAAGGGAGACTTTATTTTGGGTCACATGAACTGATTATAGGCTAGTTCGTTTTTCTCAGGCAGGACCGTCTGCTTAACCTTTTCTTCAGATAGGCCCCTCCTGCAGTGTCCAGTGCATTCTGACTATCGACTGAGCTACGTGTGCATAGCTGACAGCCAAGAGGCTATGAACCTTTCAGTGAGCCATGATCTGGTCTGATTTGAAGCCTCGGGGATCTTTCTGTAGTACATTAGATACACTCTACAAAGACAAAATGAAGTGAAAAGCAAAATCACTGAAAAGAAGAATGAACCTATATAGGTTTTTCCCTCCAGGAAAGCAAGGTTTTATCTTGACTGAATACCTATATAGCTTCATCCAAAGCAAATGTTGTCTAGGCAACAATTCACAGTTCTCTTTCTAAACAGCCAAATGTCTATACAGTCATGCATTGCCTGATGACAGGGGTATGGTCTGAGAAATTTGTGGTTAGGTGGTTTCAACATTGTGGGAATATCATAGAGTGTACTTATACAAACCTAGATAGTACAGCCTACTACACACAATTTGTACAATGTGTTACTGTACTAAACACTGTATGGAATTGTAATACAGTGGTAAGTATTTGTGCATCTAAACATAGAAAAGGTACAGTAAATATACAGCATAAAAGTTTTTAAATGGTACACCTATATAGGCACTCACCATGAATGGAGGTTGTAGGACTGTACGTTTCTCTAGGTGAGGCAGTGCGTGAGCAGGGAGCAAATTTCAAGGCCTAAGACAGTACTGTAAGCTACTGTGGACTTCAGAAATACTGAACACTTCAACTCCTCTACATTTATTTTTAAAAATATTTCTTCATTAATAAATTGACCTTAGCTACTGTAACTTTTTTACTTTAGGCACTTTTAATTTTTTTTCACTTTTTCACTCTTTTGTAATAACACAGCTTAAAACACAAATACATTGTACAGCTGTATAAAACTTCTTTATATCCTTATCTGTAAGCTTTTTTCTATTTTTTTTTTTTTCTTTTTTACTTTTGAAACTTTTTTGTTAAAAACTGAGACACCAACACACACATTAGTCTAGGCCCACACAGGGTTAGGATCATCGATATCACTGTCTTGCCTGTCCATACCCTGTCTCACTGGAAAGTCTTCAGGGGCAGTAACACACATGGAGCTGTCATCTCCTAGGATAACAAGGCCTTCTTCTGGAATCCCTCCTGAAGGACCTGCCTGAGGCTGTTTCACTGTTAACTTTTTAAAAAATAAGTAGGAGTGCACTCTAAAATAATGATAAAAAATACAGTGTAGTGACTGGGCGCAGTGACTCATGCCTGTAATCCCAAAACTTTGGGAGTCTGAGGCGGGTGGATCACAGGAGGCTAGGAGGTCAAGACCAGCCTGGCCAACATGGCAAAACCCTGTCTCTACTAAAAATTTAAAAAATACAAAAATTAGCCAGGCATGTTAACACATACTTGTAATCCCAGGTACTCTAGAGGCTGTCTCTTATACACATCTAGATGTGTATAAGAGACAGATATAGTGTAGTGTATTAGCCTGTTCTTGCATTGCTACAAAGAAATACCTGAGTGAGACTGGGTAATTTATTTTAAAAACGAAGTTTAACTGACTTACAGTTCCACAGGCTCTACAGGAAGTATGATTCTGGCATCCGCTTGGCTTCTAAGGAAACCTCAGGAAACTTACAATCATGGCAAAGGCAAAGGGGGAGCAGGCCTCTTATAGCAGAGCAGGACCAAGAGAGAGGGTGGGAAACTGCTATACACTCTTAACCAACCAGATCTCACCATAACTCACTCACTACTCAGTACCAAGGGTGGATGGGGCTAAGCCATTCATGAGAACTCTGTCCCCATGATCTAATCACCTCCCACCAGGCCCTACCTCCAACATTGGGGATTACAGTTTGACATGAGATTTGGGTGGAGTCACAGATCCAAACCATATCATATAGTAAATACAAAAGCCAGTAACATAGTTGTTGATTATCATTATCAAGGATTATGTGCTGTATATAATTGTATGTGCTACACTTTTATAGGACTGGCAGTGCAGTAGGTTTGTTTATATCAGCAGCACCACAAACATAATAAGCAACACATTGTACTATGATATTCCAAGGACTATAGCGTCGCTAGATGACAGGAATTTTTCAGCTCTATTACAGTATCGTAGGACCTCAGTCGTATATGTGGCTTGTCCTTGACCAGAACATTGTCAGTCAGTGTATGAAATGTATTACCAGCCAAAGTGTGAAACACAGTTTTATCTTCACCAGCTAAAATACTGAGTCATTATTCTTGTACATAAGTAATTGCATTCATTGAACCACAGTGATTATTGGTTTAACATTATAGACATTTGTTTTTCAGTTGTTTTCTGACACTTAAAAATTAATTATCCCCCATTTTTATTCCATATTTCAATGAACTTGGACAATTAAGGCCTTGCACCCTTATGTGTAGTGTGTGGGTCTAACTGGGGCCTGGGATCTGTCTTTATGTTTGTTAATTAATTTATTTATTTTAAGAGACAGGGTCTCACGCTATCTCCCAGGCTGGAGTGCAGTGTCATGATTATAGCTCACTGTAGCCTCTAACTCCTTAGCTCAAGCAATCCTCCCTCCTCAGCCTCCTGAGTAGCTGGGACTACAGGTACGACACCATACCCAGCTAATTTTTTTTAACAGTTTGTTGCAAAGATGGAGTCTCACTGTGTTGCCCAGGCTGGCTTTGAACTCCTTGCTTCAAACGATCCTCCTGCCTCGGCTTTCCAAAGTGTTGGGATTACAGGTATGAGCCACTGCACCCTGTTGTGATTTGTGTTTAACATACAGATAATAAAAGGAAAACTATAGGAGAAAGACTGAGGTTGATTTCAAATAAAATGATCAACTGACTATAAGGAGTGAATTTATTTTAATTAAGGACTTGACATTTCTCTTCTGCCTTGGGCAGGCAACAACCAATAGAAGACAAATATTCAGACCTCCGCTATGACCCAGACTGGAAGAGTAAGAAGGAGGAAGGTCAGCTGCTGTCTGTGGAAGCGTTGCCGGAGTCCCCGGACAGCTCTTTAGAAAATCTGCCTTTGGCTCCCCTCTACCCTTCCCAGGAGACGTCAGTGGAACTCGCGAGGGGAAAAGGTGAGCAGAAAGAGAGTCCACAGAGTGCAGCTTCTTCACTTGGTAGTGAATTTTTAAGCCCAAACTATGAGCATGGTGGCCGTCGCAGCAAGCCGTTTTCAGAGCTGAGCGACAGTGACCTGGAGGAGAAGTCGAGCAGCCTTTCTCAGTACGGGAAGAGCTCAAGTTCACATAACGAGGTTTTCCTGCCGGGATCACGTGGCCCTCGGCGAAGGAAGTCCAAACAACATTTTGTGGAAAAAAACAAGCTCACTTTGGGATTACCCACCCCTAAAATGGACTCTTATCTTCAACTTCACAATAAAAAAAGAGGGGCATCTTATCCAGAACAGGTACGTAGTGGCTACTTTAAGATGTCTTCTGAAACATTAAACTAGAAGCTGCGTTTGTTTGCAATGTCTAGATACCACTTCCTTTAGGATGAGGATAGCAGCCACCTAGCTGGGTAAAACAAATGCTTCCACAGCATACCCTGTATGTTTATGTTTATGTTTATGTTTATTCCACAAATTCTTATGACCAAAACAAAAGCCACCAATGGTTTACAGTGTAATTGCTACAAGTCAATTATTGCTATAAGTCAATTATTATATCCAAAATTGCTATAATTGCTATAAGTAATTATAAGTCCATTACTATGTCAGTTATTATATCCAAAATTCTCCATTCAAAGAAATCTAGAACTTTTTAAAACTGCATTTTCCAAATGATAAAATATAGAACGTAAGCATTTGATTCCCTGTGTGGATTACCTTTGTTACCACCGCAGCAGAGGTTTTCAACCCTGTTAAATGCCCCAGCACATTGTGGTTAACGTGGAACATGCCCCAGCTCACATACAGAAGCGATTCTCAACTCAGATTCTGTATACATATTGGGTGGTCGGGGAGAGGGTAGGGTACAACATAAGGTGGGGTGTTTTTTTTTTTCCAATCTTCAGATGTTTCTATAAACCCCATTGAAAATCACATCATTTGTTATTGTCCTGTGTAAATGATATGATATAATTAAACATTAGCCTCTTTATTTATAAAATTGGGACAGTAATAAATGCCTTCTCTTCCTCATCAGATCATTTTGAGAGTAAATTCTCTCCCACATGATGGATTCAAAACCTTTTGGAGCCAGTAAACTTAGTTCTGTTTCACAGGGACACATAAAGATCTTATCCGCCCACCTCCTATGGGTGTGTCCAGGGATACAGGACAAGAATGGGGTTAGAATAGTAGAGCCCACCACTCCTACTGGAAAAAGAGATTGATATTTATCACCTGCTAACGTGAGGTCATTTTCAAATACAAAAGAGAGGTTATTATGTTAAATGTGGTTGCCCTTAGACCTATTCCAAATCCCAATTGATATTTTTTTTTAACATACGCTAACCTGTTCTAACCTCTAAGCATTTTCTAACGGAACAAAATAGATGAGGTGGATGAACATTTGTGGTTTTTATTCAGAGACTCCCTTTTTTGTCTTAAAGAATTATGCCTGGTGGCGCGTTGGCTCATGCCTGTAATCCCAGTACTTTGGGAGGTCGAGGTGGGAGGATCACTTGAGGCCAGGAGTTCAAGACCAGCCTGGCCGACATGGTAAAACCCATTTATACCAAAAGTACAAAAATTAGCGGGGTGTGGTGGTGCATACCTGTAATCCCAGCTACTCGGGAGGCTGAGGCACAAGAATCACTTGAACCCGGGAGGCGGAGGTTGCAGTGAGCCGAGATGGCACCACTGCACTCCAGCCTGGGTCATAGAATGAGACTCTGTCTCAAAATAAATAAATAAATAAATAAAAATAAAGAATGACGTCTGGTGAGATTTGGGCTTAAAAATACTTTAATCAAAAAATAAAAATAAAATTCAAAAAAAGAATTATGTCACATCTTTGCCATTGTACTAATAAATGAAATAGGTGTAGTATATCTAGCTGAAATAGTTTAAAAACTAGGTGAATTCAAGCAGTTTTTAGTATTTTTACCCAATTTTAGATGTTAATATACTCTTGTTCCATAAAACTTACATGAAATTTTGAATTTTGCTTGATTGCTCATTTAAAAATGTAAATAAATTTAACAGTCCAGTATCTTTGAAAAAAAATTTCTATTGAGACAGGGTCTGGCCTTTCACCCAAGCTGCAGTGCAATGGCACGATCGTAGCTCACTATAACCTCAACCTCCTGGGCTCAAGCAATCCTCCTGCCTCAGCCTCGGCGAGTAGCTGGGAACACAGGCATGCACCACCACATCTAGCTAAATTTGTTTTTAAATGTCTTTGTAGAGATGGGAGTCTCATCATGTTGCCCAGGCTGACCTCATACTCCTGGGCTCAAATGATCCTCCCACCTTGGCTCCCAAAGTGTTGGGATTACAGGCATGAACCACCATGCCTGGCCTGAAAAATGTTTATAGCCAGTAATTTATCCCAAACTAGGACAATATTTTTCAAAGTGTTCTCAAAAGAAGCTGATCCGGAAGGAGAACATTTGGGGTTTTTCTTCATTTAGAAACTCTCTTTTTCTTCTGAGGTCAAAAGAAATAGTTCTATTTCCAATAATAAAAGGGAGAAATATTTACTGTGAACTCTTTAATTGTTGATTTATTAATCGCTAGTTTTGTTAGTAGTTATAAGTTAATTTACTAAACAATATTAGGGCGTATTAATTGTCAGTGATTCCGCAGCTTAATTTTCTTTTCTTTGTGCCATGGAGGAAAGTTTCTTTAAGTTCTTGTATTACTCTCTGAAGGGGCCATTGACTTTTCCCAACACTTTCTCCAAGTTCAAATATCTAAAGACTAATTGTATTTAAAATTGTCCCTTTACCATTTTCCAACATATATGTACTTCTTGCTCCTACTATTACTATTATATATATAT